CTCAAGATCCTGTTGAGACTTTTCAAAATAAACTGAATCACGTGAAAGACTATGCAGAGTATTTATGGATGAGAAGGAAAAAAAAGCCGTCAGGTGGTAAAAAAAATAAACCTTATACTCAAACGTTAGAACAGGCTTTTCCCAGCAGCAGGCTGTGTAATAAATACTTACACAAAAAATGGTGGCCGTTACAACTTATGTCTAAAAATGTAGTTTCACACAAAGGTTAAAAAACTTGCCTCCAGGTAAACAACGCCCAGCTGGAAACACTTCACGCAAGTCGAGCTGCCCGAGAATCACAGAATTTACAGAAAATGTTACATTTTTGTGATTTATATTGTTATCAGGACGATAGATGTCTTATATCGGGATATGAGATTTTGGTCATATCGCACTGCCCTAGCTGAAATTCTCTAATCTTTCCTCCCTCCCAGGTTAAAATGATATCAGACCGTCTGGAGATTTACATTTATGTAGTTGGCTAAGCCCATCTCTTACAGCTCTTGTTTATGCTCTGGTTACAGTAAATCCATCCTCTCTGGCTGACCACAGACACCTCTATTGCCTTTAACTTTCCAAAATGTAGGTGCTCATGTCATTACCAGAAACACTTACAGAGACCATGTGTACTCCTGTCATTCAACTGGCATCATGTAAAATAGTGAATCAATTTTAAGATTCTGCTTCTTAATTGAACTTTTTCCACAGTCTTGCAGCTTCATGATTTTCTGAACATCTCAGCTGAGTGGCCCCTAATCTTTGGAGCTGTCTCCCGCATCACATTCCCAACATTTATTTAACATCTATTCATCTTAAAAGACAGTCTTAAAACACATTTTCATTCCAAGGTGTGTCTTAAAAGGTGCATATTAAAAAATGCAATATTATTATTTATGTAGATACAATGGATATAGGCGGATACTAGGCCAGTATTAATCATTTTCTAAAGCCCTGTGGGTCTCCATCGGATACCCGCGCAAGGCGGTTATAATAAGCTCGATTAGCATCTAACGTGCTGGTGTGCATGTCAACCCGTTCTGTTGTATACTATTTTTTTTTACGAACTTTGCGCGGCTTTTCCCTTACTTTTTCTTCCTGGAATAAACACGATGACTAACTACAAGTTCCCAGTAAAGCTAAAGATTAAGTGGGAAATACGTAAAATGTAGCTTTAGGCGGAAATAAGTCCACGAGGTTTCGTGGAGTCTCAGACAAGCAGTCGAGCCTAAACTCCAACGATAACGTATACATTTGCATGTAGATTGATATGGCGCAGAAAACGAAGCCAGCCTAGCTCTGTCGCCGCCTACAACCTACTGCTTCAATAACCTGCAAAGACAATAGTTACTTATCTCGAAGATATGCTCTACATTACCTGAATTTAAATTTTACTGTCACGAATTCTGGGTTATTTAGCGTCAGTTATCAGCAAGCTAGCATCACATCAGCTAATGTAGCTAACTGTTGCCATTTAAGGATATCTCCGAGAACGATATGACCCCGACCGGAGTCAGAAGCCGAGATCCCTTTTGGGAGAAGAAAGTTTTTCCCATTGTCATCTGGGTCCTTCACCGTATCCTTATCAAAGAAGACAAATTTTCTCCACTGTAAGAACGCTGCCATTTTGTTAGTATTTGCAGACTGGGGTGCTGTCATGTGATACGTGAGTCACATGACCAAATCGCTGGTTCTCCATTTCCTGGCATGAGACAGGCATGCAGAGAAAAAATGTGTATATTTGTTTATATAGCAGCGGTCAGGACTGGACTGGGACAAAAAAAATCAGCCCGGACATTTTGACTAGAGAACGGCCCACCAGGTATTATAGGAAAAGCCATAAAGCCTTTGAATGAAAACAAATGCTGTTGTGACAGTGTACACTGTCTTGGTATATATGTATCAATCGAATAAACTTAAACCTACACCATCCTCCCTATTCTGGTATTTTAAACAGTACTTACCAGAAATAACAAACAACCTAATCAATAATTACATATACCTAACTAGCAGGGTTGCCAACTCCCAGCAAAAAAATAGGGGACAACCCCCCCACCCACCCTCCGCCTCATGATGCTTAATCGATGTAATCGACTTTAATTTATTGCCAGGGTAAAACAAATGCACAGAAACCAGTTATTCTTCTACAGTAATTAAATAGATTCAATATCTTTCTGCAACAGAATTGCAGACTGCACACATGGTACTATAGCTTATTAGGGCATATATTAGACTTAATATTTACTATATACAATAATGAATTTTTATATATTTTACATCAGATGACCACTTTGGTTGTAAGATTCGGTTGTATTTATTAAAACCTAGACATTTTAAATGAGAATAAGAAAGAAAAGTATATGGCTGTGGCTCCAGCAAACATCAGCTGATACTAGAAAGTAAATAAATAAATAAATTATAACAACAGCTTATCAAGCTTAAACGTGTTGCTGTTGTTTAGTGCGACATCCGCTGGTTTCGTCTTTCTGGCGCAAAGTGGGGGATAAACAAACGAGACGGGACTTAGGACAGCAAAGCCGATCAGCTGATCATTGATCAGTTTCATGATTGAAGTAGCAACAGGAGAGGGAGGGGGAGAGAATGAGAGAAGAAGAGGCAGCTATGCAGCGTAAAGACACAGAATAACTCCAGCTTTGTGCCTTTTTTACATTTTTTGCTGAAGTTCGGGACAAATGACGTTCCTTTACACCTAAATACGGAACTTTAACGTTCGACCTCATCGGCTGTAATTGGTCCAGCCCACAGTCGATCATGACCATTTGGCCAATCCACCACCTTTCATTGTTTATGCCGTTACAAACAAACAAACAAACAAACAAAAAAACCGTCGGCCCATTAAAAACGAAAAATCACGCCCGGTATGCCCGATGGCCAGTCCAGCTATGGCAGCGGTTATACAGTTTACAGTTATATATGGTACAGATGAAGGTGAGAGGGGGGTTACTGGGGCTTTGTTAGGTACACCTGTTTAGCAGATCCTACAAAAATATCTAATCAACCAATCAAGTCACAGTACCTTAGTGTATTTAGGAATGTTGAAAAAACCTGTTTAAGTTCAAATCGAACCTCAGAATGAGGAAGAGAAGTGGTTTAAGTGACTTTGGCAAGGTTGTTTGTGACAGATGGACTATTTCATAAAGTGCTGACCTTTGCGCCACTAAGCCTAATCTTAAAAGTAGAGATAGTGTCTGTCTCCTGAATCCAAATTGGAAGCTGGCTCCACAGAAGAGGAGCCTGAAAGCTTTGCTTCCCATTCTACTTTTAAATGCCACAAGTAAAGTCACAAGCAGTTAGCATACTCTAGGATAGTAGAAAAGTGCTATATAAGAATCAGTCTATTTACCAAGTAAGCCGGTAATCTGAAGAGTGAAGTGCTCTATTGATAGGGTACTATAAGGTCTTTGAGATAAATGGGGCTGAGTGAGCATGCAAGTGCCAATGCCAGGGATTCTTACTGCAACATTTTGGATCAGGGAGTTTTAGGACAAGGAATAATCTGATAATCTGACTGATAATAATGAATTACAGAAGTCCCAGAAGTAATAGTTCCATGAAGTAGTTTTTAGCATTACTTAGAGACAGAATGTTTCTAATTTTGGAGATATTGTGGAAATGGAAGAAAGCAGTCCTGCATATTTGTGTAATATGTGCATTGAAGGAAATATCCTGATCAAAAACAACTCCAGCATTCCTCACAGTGTTGCTGGAGGCCAATGTAATCTTCCAAAAATATTGGAAATTGAATTCCAGTCCTATTAAAAAAGTGAATTCTTTTTGTACATGATACACAATAAAGAGATATTTGACATATTCTTGTTTAATTACAAATAGAATATTTGATATCTTACAAAGGTACCTAAAACAAAATCAGTCATTGAATGTGGAGAATAAACTAAAAGAATGCAAGACCAAATCAAACTTGTGTTTTAAAAAATATCTTGCAACGGTGAGTACCAACCAAAAGTGGTCCAAGGAAGGGCTACCAGTAAACCGGTGACAGGGACATAGGCGCCCAATGCTCATTGATTGGCGCAGGGAACAAAGGCTGGCCCATGTGGTACAATATTAAAAAAAAAAAAAGAGCTAATGTAACAGAAATAGCAGAAAAGGTTTTCATATAAGAGTCCAAACACAATGCACCACAGGTTGCTTTGTATGGGATTGCAAAGTCACAGGTCAGTCAGAGTCCCTTTGCATGTGAGCACCAAAACTTGACCTTGGAGCGCTGGAAGAAGGTAGTCTGATCTGGTGAATCACGGTTTCTTTTACGTGATGAGGACAGACAGATGCATGTGCAGCATTTATCTGTGGAAGAGATGGTAAATGGACTGGTTCTTATATAGCGCCTTTCTACTCTGAGCGCTTTACACAACTTGGTTCGTTCACCCATTCGCACAAGCACTTTTTTCTATGCTCTGCTATGTAAGTGCTTTTTATCTAACATTGACGTGCATGGGATTAGTATCTTGCCCAAGGATATTTGGCATGCAGACCAGAGAAGATGGGGACTGATCCACAGCTGTGTGACACTCTGGGCAAAATTCTCCTGAGGAACCCTGGGTCCTGGACTTCACGTGGATGTCATTTCTAGACATAGCACATACCTGAACATTACTCCAGACCATGTACACCCCTTCGTGGCAGTGGCCTCTTTCAAATGGATAATCCTCCCAAATCCCAAGTCTGATCAATGGAGTCCCCTCCTCTCAACTTGCATGACTTAAAGAACCTGCTGCTCTCGCGGTATTGGCAGATTCCACAGGACACCTTTAGAGGTCAGATCTGTTTTAAACAACAATGTTACTATGGTGGTTGTGCTGTGGTCCATGTACAGTTATCAACTATTTTTTTTGGTATATTTATTTATGTTTGTGTACACACACACACACACACACACACACACAAAACAGGGCACTAGCTGTTCATTATAAATATAATAAGGCAATGGAAAAATGTATATAAAAACACTTATTCCACACAGATGTAGTAGATGTTATTTTAATAGGTGTTCAAGAAGCAAAAGTTGCGTCAGAAGAAAGTGTCAAAGGAATAACAGTTGCATCAGCAAACAGTGTCATGACATAGTTTAGGACGATGTGGGGTATGGAAGGTCGGGTGGCTAAGGGATCCCACACTAAGCAGGGGTTCCAGTAAGGCAAGGCTGCATGTAACAACTGGGCTTTAACAATCAAAAACAGACGTTTCATAATGATTACAGTAACATAAATTAGAGTAAGCACATGATATACAACCCTATTGGAGGAAAGATACTTAGAAGATCTGACAATCTCTTCATCACAAAAAAGTCATGATCTACATCCAGTAAAGGGTAAATAACCTTATACATGTGCATGTATAAACAGATGCATATTCATTTCTATATTTCACTGTTTGTTTGTTTTTTTATTTGACTAAAACTATAAAAAGGAGCAGTAATAAATAAACCGGGACTCAAGCATTTCATTGTTGTGATTGCAGAAATGTCCCAGTTGAACTCTTCTGAACAGACTTTTACTTTTACTGCAAAGGAAAAAAGTAACAAACCGGGGAAAGAGATTTTCCAACCACTCAATATGCACAAATCTTTCTTTTATCAGTCTTATGGATGGTGACATGACAGTCCTTTGGACTTAAAACTGCCCCACATTTCCAGTGACTATAAGGTGCAGCAGCTTTTCTGTCATGAGAACTGTTGGTTGTAACAACTATGTACCTTAGAAACAGTATACCATCATAGCATACAATACAGTACAATCAAGACTGAATTAGAAAAATACAGGTACAAAATGATTACATTCAAGAAGACAGTGCTAACACAAAAGGGTATTATAATCATTTAGGTCATTAATATAGGAATTCAACATTATAGAAGCATTTTCTAGGTAGAAAAAGTGAGGGAAAATGACAAAATTATGGCTGTATTGTAGATGTGTGGTTTTGTTACTGACACACACACATAGTGCCTTGAAAAAGTATTTGCCCCAACATGTTACATAATAAATTGTGATGAACCACATTTTTAGAAACCCGAGTTCACTTTCACTATCCACACTCCTGCCAGACCTGCTGAATTAAGACATTACTTAAACAGAACCTGTCTGACAAAGAAAAGTAGGCTAAACGAAAGGACATCATCCCATAACTTAAAGAAAAAGATGACATCTATCAGACTGGAAAGGATTTCTATGGCTTTGAGACTCCAGCGAACCACAACGAGTGCCATCATCCAAATGGAGAAAACCTGGAACAGTGGGATTCTTTTTCAGGAGTGGCCAGCCTACCAAAATTACTGCAAGAGTACACTGAACAACTTGTAAAGAACTGCAAGGCTCACTTGCCTCAGTTATGAAGCAGTGTTCATGATTCAACAATAAGGGATATCTATGGAAGAGACCCAAGGTCAAAGCCACTGCTGTCAAAAAACAAATAAACAAAAAAACTCCAATTTGATGATCCAAGAATTTTGGTAAAAATACTCTATGGACTGACGAGGGAAAAGTTGAACTCTTTTGGATATGATACATTTCGTAACATTTAACATAAAACCAAAATAGCATTTCATAAAAAGTACATCATACCAAGAGTTAAACAGTATGATGGTAGTGTGAGGTCTGGGACCCAAATGACTTTGCATGATTGTTTAAACTATTAATTCTGCTCTCTACTAGAAAATCCTGAAGGAGAATTTGGACTTACCAGAGACCACACTAGAAAGTCCACCTGTGAGGGGTTTGGTGTGGCCTAGTCAAAGGTTTTGCATTCTTAAAACCCTCCAATGTGGCAGATTTAAATCAATTCTGCAAAGAAGAATGTAACAAAATTTCTCCACAGCACTATGGAAAAAATCACCAGTTATCAGAGATGACTGAGTGCAGTGTATGAGTTCTTGCCACCAAGGGTGATACTTGGATCTTTGTCTAATATTCGTTTTGTTTAATGCTCTCAAACCTCTGTGTTTCACAAACAGGCAAAGAAACAAAGAAATTAGCAAGGTGGCAAATACTTTTCCATGACACTGTATACATATATCATTAAAATGCATAATTTCCACAGAGTGGGTAAAATTTATATATGCTTCCAAGACCATGACCATTTTGCCTTGGGTCATAAGGTGCAAATACTGAATATATACAGGCATTTAGTGGTGCCTTTTTGTTGCACTTAATTCCAACTCTGTATCCCACACAGGATGAATTGTGCTGATAATGATACCTGAATATTTAAATACCTAAAAAACAAAAAACAAACGAAAAGAAACAATCTAGAGCACCCCCCCCCCAAAAAAAAAAGAAAAAAAAAAAGCAGGATTTGTGGCTGAATATACCTTTCCCTTCTTTGGCAAATGTCAACATACTTACTTGCTACAAGCTAGTATCTGTCTCTTTTTTTTTTCTCTGTGTGGTCTGGGGGAAGACAACTTCTTTGTCTTTACAAAGAACTACACTGATTTCCACCAGTGGAAGAACTATACAGTTTACCATTGTACCAAGTGACAGAAATGTAACTTCCTTTTATATAAGAAAAAAAAAACTACATACATCCATTCTTAGGATTATCATAAAGCATTTTGGGGTTCCTTTAACTTTTTTTTTAAATAAAACAAGTTCTTAGATGAATTAAAGACTTGTTGCATGTACAGGAGTATTTGCATTGTAAGGCCTATATAAGATATGAATGACTTTGAAATAATGTATTTGATTTAGAAAAAAATGACTTCTCTGAGATCCAATATTACAATATTTCTGTCTCCTGTCATTAAGTGTCTGAAAGCACTGAAAGACACCTCATTATTTGAAGACAGTGCATTTTTTGGTGCCTCCCTGTTTATCACAGTAGAGACACATTTGTCATCTGTGAGCTTAATTTTTTTTTTTTAACAACAGTCCTAATCCAGTAAACTTCACCTCAGGAAAAACAGTGAAGTTCTTAAGGGACCTAGTTGAAAGAATATCATAAACACACACCCAAAAAAGAACGATCAAATAGAAAGCTAAAAGCTATAAAAGTTATTAAATGTGACTGAATCTAAGTATTGGTCTCCAAAGAGGAACAAAAGGCTCCTCGTGGTACATACATGACAGGAGTCGCAGTGGAATATATATATATATGTATGACTGAGGAATATATATATATATATATAAATATATTCCTCAGTTGCTCAGTGGAATATATATACACACACACATACATATATTCCACTGAGACTCCTCTCATCTATGTTGAAATTGTGGCTGGTTTTAGCCAGGTCCTGAGGGTGTTAAAGATACTATTGACTCAAGTGAGAACACTGCCTCTGGTGGAGATGATGCATTTTATTACCCCATTACATGAGCAATTTAAACTTAAACTTATGATTAGTCTATTTTTATGGTATAAACAAGCAAAACACTTCTTTCATGAAGTAAGACGTACACATAAATTAACCTTTCTAACTGCTACGCAAACTGCAATAAGATCAAGTATTGACAAAAACTGCATTCACTTTTCAGAAATGTTTGCACTGACTTTGGGACACTGAGCAAGAAGCTGCTTGAGGGCTTTCTGGTGGCAAAGAGGGTGTAGGTGGGAGGGTTAAGACTATAGTTTAAGCACTTTTCCTCAATCTCCCCATCACAAAAATGTGTTTTTTCCCCCACAAGCCTCACAGCCACACTGTGATTCTACTGCTAGAAATTAGACAGGGCTCCTTGTTTACATGCAAGTGATGCACAGGTCTACTTTTCAGATTCAGGCTATAACACATTTATTTGCGGTTACCACATACTTTTGTAGTAAAGCATCACAATTTTAACACATATCCAAACCTCAACCAAGATTTCTTCAGTGTTTGAGTACACCGTAAGACTAAGTTAGTAATGGTCTACCAATCGTGGTTGGTTACCCTGGTTTAAGCCATTTTGGGTTGAAGCTAAAAGGGATTAAGAGCTATTTAAATGCAGAGGTATTGTAACAGAGGTGGAGGGAACTCTTCAGCAGGTGTATGTGTGAGGTATAAAAGATGAGAGAAAGCTGATTTGTCTCTAAAACAAATGCAGTTTCTTTTTTCTTTCCATCTAAAATGCCTTAACTTTAAAATGGCCTCTGTTTGATAAACATGTACAATAAACCCATGACATCCATCTCTATAAGAGAAGCCATGCACTGGTTGATAGCTTGATACTTTCAAAGGCCCTATTAGCATATCTGGGAGTGGGGGTGGGGATGTATGGACTTAAGAAAGGCATCTTTCCCCCAAACCAAAAGAAGGTTTAAGGGGAAACACTGAGATAACGAGGAGGTGGAGGAAGAGGAGGAGGAGGAGGAGGTCTCCTTCTCCTTCGAGGAAATTTACCACAAAGTGGAAGGTGGAATATGTCCAAAGCTTCTCGATCAAGTCTTCATTCAGTGTGGGGCTACCACAGAGGAAAGTTGAGATCCAATGCAAACCTTCATGTTGTGGCTTCTCAGAACAGCAGAAGAGTTTCACTGATCAGCGCAGGAGATGAGAACTGGAGTCTGGGAAAGTTCGTTATTCTGACTCTCAGCCAAGCCTCTCTGACCTCTGAAACAAGACAGTAAGAGAGACTGAAGAGTATGCTTCATTTTTCAAACTAGTTTAAAGGTTTTGCTTTCAAGCACTAGGCCCATTGTCTTTTAATGCAAAGTTCTTGGAAATTCTTTCACGTTCTCTGAATTTCCACCATAGTCTAAAAGACTATATGACATATGAATAGCATTTTTTTTCTTTCCTTTTTTCATGTCTTCATTCTTGACAGAAGACAAATCGGTCATAAAACCAAAATAACACAATATACAATAAAAAGAAAGAGTATTAAAAATGCTATAACTGTCCAAGCTTGGTTATTGCAGTGCCGAATAACACAAATAAAGAGTCATTTGACATAAAGCTGAAGCAGAGAGTAGAAATGAAAATAAAAATACTGGGTTGCAATAAGTCATATGCATGCGTCGTATAAATAAAGCTGAACTGAACTGAATGGTTCATATGAGATATCTAAATTCTAGACAGCAGTATGTAAGGGTGCTAGCAGTGCTATCTATTTTTGTAAATGGTCAAATTTATAACATTTGAGTGAGGAATACCCCCCGTCCCCAAAAGAAAAATGACCCCATAAATAAAACCTAACTAATCTCTGGTATATTACAATTCTTAAGTGTTAGCAAAAGAATAACGATCACAAGCCAAGTCCATGCATACGGTAACCGGTCTCTACCTGTGAATATTTTCCATGGCTGCAACCTCAGCGAGGGCAGCCAAGCTGAACAAGGCAGGCAGCTCTTGTGATATGGTGCTTCTTTCTGCCTCCTCTCCTCTGTGACTATAGCACCCCATTTCATTGCATAAATTCTGTTGTGGTAATGGCTTCTTATCCTGGTCCTGGTTCAGGTCCCTTGTTTTGTCTTCTGTTGTAACAAAGCACAAATGTACAATTCTCAGGAACATAACTGAATATTTTTCAGAACATGTCATTAATAGTTTCTGCTCACATATTAAGTTTCAAAATAATTTTACCAAAAACCGTCATGACATGAGATGCCAGAGTGTATCGTGCCACCAACAAGTAGAAATGGTTGGATCATATAAGTAAATATTAGCTGATACTTGTGGTACGTAGAAATGAATTTGGTAAAATGTGCTCTCACTCAGTTCTTTCACTATCTACAGCACATGTAGCATCACACATCACAGCAAAGGGTGTACTAAGAAGGAAGGAGCTATATTCAAACACTTATGTTTGGGGATGCTGTGACTCAGAATGGGTCATCTACCGACTGGAATTTCGGTAGATTGAATCCCAGCTCCTTATGTTTGTGTGTAAGAGTATCCTTGGGCGAGAACCTCGAGTTCCCCCTGATGCATCCGTCAGAGTACGAGTGCGTGAATATTTTCGCTAATTCTTTTATCTGAAGAATGCTTTAAGCAGAGTAGAACAGAATAAAATAGCCCTTTATTCCTTTTGTACATGTACAATGAAATTGTGGCCGATACAAAACGTGAGATACAAACTGCTGGATACATTTTAGACACTCACCTGCCATTCCCTTCTGACCTCTGGCACAAACAAGGCATTTTTGCCTAGACAAACTGGATTTTATTGAAAATCTGGAAACTGTTGTGCAGGAAAATCCCAGCAGATCTGTTTCTGAAATAGTTGAGTATTACTCAGACTAGCTTTCTTCCTCATTCTGATGTTAGGTTTGAACTTCAACCATCTCTGCATGCTTAAACTGCTGCCATTTGATTGGCTGTTCAAATATTTGCATTAACAAGAAGTTGAGCAGGTTTATCTAATAAAGTGGTAAATTTAAGAATAAAATTATTAGTTTTCACAAAGTCTGTGGATTCAGTTTTTATTATGCCAGTTTGCATAAATGCAGAGGTCCCTCTTTACCATAAAACTAAACATATGACTAAATATTCTATTTCCACTGCATTTCAGCTCTGCCACAAAAAGACTGTGTGATTGTTACACAGGAAGCATGTAGAAACAGCTTAGAAAAAGAGTTTGGGTGACTGCACAAGTTGAGTGCTCAGGCTGAGTAGAAAAGTGCTATATCTTGATTAGTGATTAGTAGGGATGGGTACCGGTATCCGGTGCCATGATGGCACCGGTTCTGACATAAACGGTAGTAACCAGACCGAAAAGCAGCGCACATTTCGGTGCTTTATTTCGGTGCTTTTTTTTTGTTGTGTTAAAGTTGTGATACACTTTAGATTCTAGCCAATCATTTTACGTTTCGAGGATAGTAGGCGGGTCCAGGTACGTACATTCTTTTAGAGAAGAGCTACAGATTAAAAATGCCCAAGGCAAAGCGGTCAAAAGTCTGGCTGTACTTCACAGCAAAATAAGCAAACTCAGCAGCCTGCAACAAGTGCTTTAAAGTGATACTGTGATACTGTCAAAGAAGGTAACACCTCAAATCCGATGAAACACCTGGCGCATAGCGTTTTTTTAGAAGCCGAGAAATGCGCCGTATTTGATAGCTTGCTGCGAGACCTCACACCG